TTCTTTCTTTGCGTGAACATTTGGGCGGCGTTATGCAAATCTTCCCACATCGTGACGTAGACATGTGGGGGCGTGTTTAAACGAGGCGTTTTAGGAGGGCGTGGACAAGTCTTAACTTTTATAAAGAATATCTCTTTGGATTTGAGATTTTAGTCTTTGCAACTTTACAGATCTTCTTTATGCACCAAGAGCTTGTAACACTCCAAAGAGAAAGGAAAAATTGAAATCGCATCATATGACCCCTTTAAGTACAAAAAAAATTCATTTGAATGAATATGTACAATACATTTACAACACAATTTAAAGTGTCTAAAATTAATCTGATTATTTATGTATGTGCATATGTATTTAATAATACATATTTTAATTCACACTGTAGATATGTCTCTAGTCTCATGGGGAAAACGTGACTGCGTATGTTTGTGCAAAATGTGAAATAGTAAAATTGCTGCAGTTTCCATGTAAAATGTGGCGATAAAAGCATTATGATTTTTACTGTCCATTGAACACAAATCAAAAGTAGCAGGGAAGATTTTTCAATTATTAACGACTTGAATTTGTCTGTTACGCAAAGCTGATGTAGGAAGAACACTGCAGTACAAGTTGTACAGAAAAGTATAACAGTGCATTTTTATTCTATGCAGGGATGGAGGCGCACTGTTCAGGCCTCGGCAGGAAGAGGAAGAGAGAGGAGTTGAATGGCGAGATGGAGGCAGAATGTTTCCAAAAACTTCCACGGCGGACTTTGGTGAGTGCTGGGAAGGTCTCTGTCAGTAGCCACTCAAATGTGATGACATAATTTCCTCATCTTATGTGCGTCTCCAGGGCCTGACTGAACCTGCACCATTCGCTGATGAGCTGCTGGCTGCAAAAACCCCATATGTCCGTGTTAGCATGGAAGAAGCCCGCCGTGGCACTCCAGGTGCGTGAATGCTGATTTTACCCAAGATACCCTCATTGTCTACACATTCTCTGCATGACCTGCATGTGTTCCATCTCTCATTCGCTCTTTAGAGGGCCGTCCAGTTCGCGTCTATGCTGACGGGATCTTTGACATGTTCCATTCAGGACACGCTCGTGCTTTGATGCAAGCCAAGTGCCTTTTCCCCAACACGCATCTCATTGTGGGTGGTGAGTTTGAGCAAATGTCTTTTGCCACGTATATCCCTGTAATAGTGTAACCAATCAGATTTAACCAGTATATCAGCTCTTCAGTTCATTTATGTGTCACTAGTGTCACCAGACTAATGTGAAAAAGCAATGTCCCATTAGTTAACATTAAGGCATTAACGAACAATGAGCAGTATATTTGTATTAAAGCATTTTAATTCACGTTAGCACATTAAATAATATTTACAGGTATAACCTATGATTTTAATAATGTATTAGTAAATGTTTAAATTAATATTAACTAAGAGTAGTAACTGCTTTAGGAAAAATTTTCATTGTTAGTTCATGTTAACTAATGCAGTTAAATGGAACCTTATCTGTTTTTCAGTGTGCAGCGATGATTTGACGCATAAATTTAAGGGTTTCACTGTCATGAACGAGGATGAGCGTTACGACGCAGTGAGTCACTGTCGTTATGTTGATGAGGTGGTCCGCAGCGCTCCATGGACACTGACACCTGAATTTCTGGCCGAGCACAGAGTGAGTATCCAGATCAACATCATATTTCCATTCCTGTGGCATAAACAGTAGAGCATGGCGCTAGCAACACCAAACATATACCTTGAATGCTTTGGATAAAAGCGACTGTCAAATGTATAAATGTACATTTCCCAGGGTTAGCACAGGACTTTGTGAAGTGTGTAACCGTAAAGGTTGTAGGGATAGTTCTCTCAAAAATGAAAATTGTGCTATCTATATTCTCAACCATATTGAAGAATTATTCATGCAGTTCTTTTCCATTCAACAGCAATTCAAAGTGATCACGTCTACTAAGCTCCAAAAAAAAAACATCCATACAACTCATTTAAATGCTTTTTGAGGTTCACAGAAAAAAAAATCATAATTGTTTGGAATGACATTAATTAACGAACAGCTAAAATAAAATTATAGTAATTATCGCTGAACTAAAACCAATAAAAAAAAAAACAGTTTTGTTATTTGAAATAAACATTAACTGAAATAAAATAAAACATTTTATTTCAGTGTTTAGTTTAATTGCTAAAATAACTAATACTAAATAAACTTAAACAAATAAAAATTAAAAAACTATATAGGCATTTAAAAAAAGACTTGATAAAAATGATAAAAACACAACAAAATTACTAACATTTTAACTCATTTAAAAGGAAAAATCTAATTCGAAGTATTAAACACAATAATAGTATATCAATGATACTGAACCAACGCTTAACAACATGTGATTTTGTCCCCAGATAGACTTTGTCGCCCATGACGACATCCCATACATCTCAGCAGGAAGTGATGATGTTTACAAACATATAAAGGAGGCTGGTAGGTATTAGCAACTTGCAAATACAGTTAAATAGCAGTCAGTCAATTAGTTTTTATTATAATATATGCTCTTCAAATTCTCCTTTTCAGGTATGTTCGCACCAACTCAGAGAACCGAGGGCATCTCCACATCCGACGTAATCACACGAATCGTACGTGACTATGATGTTTACGTGCGCCGCAACCTGCAGAGAGGCTACACTGCCAAAGAGCTGAACGTCAGCTTCATCAACGTGAGTGCGCTTGACTACACCTTCCATCTCTTAATAAAGCAATTGAAAGGAAATATTGCCCTCGTTTATTTAAGTATTGGATTTTACGCTCTGCTGCCCTCTTTCTGCCAGGAGAAGAAGTACCACCTGCAGGAGCGCGTGGACAAGGTGAAGCAGAAGGTCCGAGATGTGGAGGAAAAGAGTAAAGAGTTTGTGCAGAAGGTGGAGGAGAAGGGCATCGACCTCATTCAGAAATGGGAGGAGAAATCACGGGAGTTCATCGGGAACTTCCTGCAGATGTTCGGACCGGACGGGGCATTGGTGAGTCTAGCTGCAGCTCTTCCATACATCCTGAGCATTGATGTTTTAATACATAAATGAATAGTTCACCCAGAAATTAAAGTTCTGTCATCATTTACTCAACCCTAATATAATTTCTCTTTCTGTGGAAGACAATAGATGTTTTGCAGAATGTGCAATCTGCTCTTTTTCCTATAAAAAAGTGGGTGGTGATGTACTATTTACTGGACCAAAAAGGTTCATGACACTCATGCGCTGTATTTTAAGCCTTCTTAGCTGAAGATGGCGGAAATTTGAGTTGTTATCCACTGATAAACCACAAGAGCTAATTCCATTTGGCATTGTTGATGTCAAATCTGGAGCAGTGTATATTAGAATGATTTCTGAAGGATCATGTGACACTGAAGACTGGAGTAATGATGCTGAAAATTCAGCTTTGATCACAGGAATAAATTACATTTTAAAATATATTCAAATAGAAAATAGTTCTTTTAATTTGTAATAATATTTCACAGTATGACAGTTTTTACTGTTTTTTTGGATGAAAGAAATGCAGCCTTAGTGAGCATAAGAAACAAAAAAAAATAAAAATCGTAGTTATAAACTTTTGATTTAGTGCACGCTAATTGATTTTTATCATTATGATAAATAGGAAAATTTTCAGTGAATACGAGTACATTTTCATTTCAGCTATTTTTTTTAGAGGGGTCATATGATGTTGCTAAAAAGAACATTATTTTGTGTATTTGGTGTAATGAAATGTGTTTACGCGGTTTAAGGTTCAAAAAACACATTATTTTCCACATACTGCACATTATTGTTGCTCCTCTATGCCCCGCCTTTCTGAAACGCGTCGATTTTTACAAAGCTCATCGTTCTGAAAAGTGTGCTCTGATTGGCCAGCTATCTAGTGTGTTGTGATTGGCCGAATACCTCAAGTGTGTGACGGAAATGTTACGAGGTTCAGGAAACTTTCCTCTGTAAAATGTGCTGCACACATCTGAATATTTGGGTTGAACTGTTCTGGAACAGTGTTGTAAATACAACTTAACCACTGATTTCTAGTTGTGTCCTCTTTTGGAAGACCAAACCAAGTAGTTTCGCTTTCACAACGAAACACACAGTGCCTTCACGACATGGCGGTGGCAGCAACAATACTACAGCAAGAATAAAAGTTACGCCTTCTTTCTTTTCGTGAACATTTGGGCGGCGTTATGCAAATCTTCCCACACAGGGATGTAGACATGTGGGGGAGTGTTAGAACGAGGCGTTTTAGGAAGGTGTGGCTGAGCGTTCACTTTTATAAAGAATAACTCTTTGGGTTCAAGACTTTAATCTTTGCGACTTTAGGGATTTTCTGTATGCACAAACAGCTTTTAACACTCCAAAGACAAAGGAAAACACGAAATCGCATCATATGACCCCTTTAAAATACGTGCTTGTCTCCAGATGACTTCACTAATATCTCTAATAATCACTAATATATATGTATTATGTGTCTAACAGAAGCACATGTTGAAAGAGGGAAAAGGACGGATGTTACAGGCCATCAGTCCCAGACAGAGCCCCAGCAGCAGTCCCGTCCGCGAGGAGCGCTCGCCGTCCCCCACCTTCCGTCTTCCCTTCTTCACCTCCTCACCATTCTTTTCTCCTCCTCCTCATCACAGCAGCACACACTGCACAGGCAAAGATGAGGACGACTAGCTCGACATCCGTTCTAGAAACCAAGCTCACAACCAGCTCTTCATGTTTTCTACGCTTTCTTTAAGCCATTTTGAGTTGCCAAGAATATAAATGAAGGATGGACTAGCTCAAGATTTATTTGAATATGAAAAATGTTGAAATGCACAATAGTGACCAAATTATTCCACCCGTACTTTCTAAAGGTTTTGATCCCACGTCTCCCTCTCGCTTCAGAGAGATTTGCCACACACCACTAAACCGAAAAGCTCATATTGTTGTTCTTTTCCTTGGATCGTATTCGACCTGGAACTTGCATAATTATGCATTTTTAGCGCTTCTCATTTTTTTGTTTCACAACACAGCGTCTGCTTGCACGTAATCTCATTCTCAATTGTGCATAAAACTCACCCTCACCTGCCTTCATTGTCCAGATCTTTTCATACTTGAACAGGGGCCCAAATTTGAGACTATTTCCAGGATGGGGGAGGGATCCCGGCACAGAAATCGTCTTTGTATAGTTCTAGAATGTTTCTTCTCATTTTATGCTGGTTACTGTATTTCATCTCAGCTTATGTTTTTACTTTCAATCATTCTTTTTGAACATTCGTGTGTCTTTCTGACCTTTTTATGTTTCTGCTAAAGTTCATTAGGTGTTTTTCCTCATATGAACTCTCTCTCTCTCTCGGACTCTGATGTGAAGTAATAATTTCGGGGCCTGGCAGTGACGGCGTCTGGCACCCACATTTAAACCCTGTGCTAGTCTGTGGCACGGGTCCCAGTCTTTTTGGAAAGGCTTTGCTTTGCTTGAATGTTTACTTTACCAAGCCTGCTGAGGGACAGTGTTAACACGAAAGACTACCAGGCCCTGTTGGTTTACATGTTCACATAGGACAAGAAGATGACCTTAGGATTATGTGTTTGCCAGCAGACCAAAAGACAACTTTGACATTCTTGTGGTCAGGAACATTGATTTGATTTGTTTTAGATGATCTTTGAGAATCAAAAGGACTGTGAAAGCTCTTGAAATAATTTTTTTTTTTTGTATTGTCTTGTGGCTTGTTACTTATTCATGGGGATCAAAAAACACTATGTACTACAGCACCTTTAATGTCCAATAACATAAGATTTTAGAAAAAAGATGATTTAAAAAAAAACTAACATTAACCTATCACTTCTGAATAGTTAAATGGGCGCAACATCAGATACAGATGTTTGATATTTCAGGTTACATTAACACTTTCCAAATTCTATTACTAGTTCAAGCAGCTGCATTCTTAAAAATAAAGGTTCCAAAAGGGGGGTTTCACAGTGATGTCATAGAAGAACCATTTTTGGTTCCCAACAGCTTTCAGTGATCATTTCTTAAAATAACCATTTTTTCTTAGTGTGAAGAACATTTGAATAATCTAAAGAACCTTTTTCCACTGTGAAGAACCTATTGTTTCATGTAAAGGTTCATTGGATGTTAAAGGTTCTTCATGGACCCATAGATGCCAATAAAGGCCCTTTATTTTTAGGAGTGTAGATCGTTTAGTAGCCCTGTGTGTCCTAAAGCACCAGCACATGTAAACAAGGCCATATTCCCATATTCATGATACATGTATGAACTCTGTAAAATGTACTTCACGTCTTAGAGAAAGGGATGAGCCAATGACAAAGAAAGGAAAAGTTTCATAAACTCATTCTCATATCTGAGTCACAGATCCACACCTGCCTCTAAGTGGTTCTCAACTTGGGGACTTCAATCCATTTGAGGCTGTCAGTAAACTTCAACAAGAGCCGCAAAACCAACTTAATTTTGTCTAAACTAATTTAAACTAAAACAATTTTACAGTTAAAAAGCTAAAGGCCCATTCACACTAAGAATGATAACTATATTAGTTCAGACGTTTTGTTTATAAGCGCGTCTGCCACTTTAAATGCTTGAGCCGATTCAGATTGGCTGTCAATGTTTTTAATCATTCATCAGCTGGAAAAAAAAAAAATTCTGAAAATTATTCCAATGATATTGTTCCTGTGTATAAAGTTATAAATTGTCATATCCAACTTTATCCACAAATATACTCGCGTAAAAATATCAAGCAGTTGAGATTTGCTGTATAGTATATCAACTGCTTGATATTTTTATTTCATCGCAAAATGTCACTATATTATCGCCCAGCTGTAATCTGCTAAATGCAACTATAAGACCTGAAGATATTAAGATGTCATAAACATTAAAGGGATAGTTCTCACATACCCTCATGTCGTTCCAAACCTGTACCTTCGTTCGTCTTCGAAATACAAATTAAGATATTTTTGATGAAATCCATGAGATTTCTGACCCTCCATAGACAGCAACAGAACTACCACGTGCAAGAAAGGTTGGAAGGACATCATTAAAATAGTCCATGTGACATCAGGGGTTCAACCGTGATGTAATGAAGCTACGAGAATACTTTTTTGCGTGTGTGCAAAGAAAACAAAAATAACATTATTCAACAATTTCTACTCTTCCATGTCAGTCTCCGCCACACGCTCACGAGAGTACCACGACGCATGTGTTTCAGTTTCAGTTGTGTTGCTGTCTATGCAGGGTCAGAAAGCTCTCGGATTTCATCAAAAATATTTTAATTTGTGTTCCGAAGTTGAGCGAAGGCCTGAACGGGTTTAGAATGACATGAGGGTGAGTAATGACAGAATTTTCACACTATCCATTAACATCACAATTTTCTGTAAAGCAGTTTTGCATTTTTAAAAAGCACTAAACAAACAAACTTGCTTGAATTTTTACTTCTGTTGTAATTGTTATAGTTGTGGGGTGGACTTCCCTATTCTCAAAATATTAGAATGATTATTAACACTTTATAGTTGTTGTTATAGTCCATGGTGTGAACGGCCCTTTAAAACACTCAAATCAAGGCTACTGAAAAACTGGGGAATTCACGTGCACCGCTGAGTATGAAACTGTACCTTTGCAAACAAAATTAAGAACTAAATTTTATGCCTCAGAAGTGGCATTAACCTTAATAAAAAAAAGCACCTTGGTTGTCTTTGCAGCAGACGTACAAAAGAAAATCTAGTTGGTGATCCTTCCAAATATTGTCTTGAATCTCAGAGTTATGAAGGTTGGAAACCCCTGCTAGTGCAGGTCGTCCATTATGACTCTGAGTGGCAAGCAGAGCTGTGTGCACTGCAGCGGAGGACAGTGGGTCTGAGTGCTCTAAAGCCCTGGAGGTAGAGCATGTGATCAGTACATCAGCATCGCTCCATCAGCTGTTGTTGGAGGACTGCTCTGGCTTCAGCCGGATGGCCCACGAGTTGGCAGAGACGACGTTACCGCGCCGATGGATGCGGCAGGTGTACGTGCCTTCATTAAATTCATTGGCCACGAGCCGCAGGTCCCGATCTTTAATTACAATATAGCCAGGAATGGATGTCAGCAACTGCTCACCGTCCTTATACCAGCTGATGAAAGATGAAACAAAGCAGCTGAGATTAACTGGACAGAAACGAAGCTTCAAAAATGATGCATTCCATAATTGCATGTGCGTTTTTTTTGTTGAGTATCATATTTGATATATCAGGCTTTTATGGCTCATATAGTATGGAGCTCATACTCAAGGAGGAAAAAACACCTCAGTTTTATTCAGAGACCAAAACTGAGCAAAAATATGCAATTTGGTGCAGATGCTGATATTTATATAGTCAAAAAGAAAGATTAAATTCTGATAGCTTGTAATGTAAATCAATGACATCTTTATAACAGTATAGCAGACTATTTAAATAAAATGATACAAATATCAGTTGTCACTCTATATCTCTCAGTAAGATTATATTTTAAATGCTTAGTTTTATGATCGAAGCTCTGTCGTTTTTATTATGGGCAAATCATATAATGTGATGCAATACAATAATGATTGAGAGATGTACAAATAAACATTCCTCAAAAGCCTGATGATCATATTTGATACTTACAATTTAACATGATTTTTCAAAGAAAATTATGTATGGATAAACAAGTAAATCTAAGTTACTTCAGTCCAGTAAGTGTTCATCTTGAAATATTACTAGTAATATAAAAGATATTCTTATGTTTACTTTATAAAATTCATTTGATAAAGATTTTATTTTATAAGATTTTACAACAAAAAGCCACGTGAACCACAACCTGAAGATGGACGTTTTTACAATTATAAACTATCAATCAGATCACAGAAAAGTATGTAAATTCAACAAAGTTTTGATCATGTTAATAATTTAGAGGCCTTAGAAATGTGTGTATCAAAATATAATACAGAAGGCTTTATAGGGTTAAGGACGCTCTACCTGACTTTTGGAGGCACTCTGGTATTTTTTGTCCCACAGCGGAAGCCCACAACTTTTCCACGAGGCACAATTTTGATCTTCACATTCTCTGGAGGAGGTGTCGGTGTAGACACTGCATCCAGAGGCTCTGAGGAGCAAACACGCATGTTAAAGAGTCAGCTGTACAAGTGTGTGAGTCTATAATATCACTACTATTTAAAGTAATGGGCGATGTCCGTCCACATGCACAATGAAGAATACTGTGTGAAAGAGAAAGGCTTTTGGAGGGGAAGACAGCGCTGCAGGAGATGTTGGAGGAGGATGTTTTCAGTGTCTCACCATAGCACAGGTCGCAGCGCTGCGGGCAGTTTTTCTTCATGAAGCTCCGCCTCCTCTCACAGAAACCCAAGCGGGCCCAAGGATCACACACACGCTTCTTATCCATGCATCCTGAAGCAAACACACACGCAGATGATAGAAGATAGTTATTTTTGCACTTTTTGCACATACAATACAAAAACAACCTATCTATTTTCTAAATGCATGTTATAGATCTTATTGTTAACGATTCATCCGTGCATGTTTCATTTTTGATCTCATAATGTTCAATCAAAATGTAATAACTGGATCTTCGGGTGAAAACGCCAGACTTCTGCAGGTCTTCTCCAATCATTTTGGTCACTGAAACTCCGCCTCCACTTTTAAATGCCACGCCCACACCTCAACATCCAATCAACAACTGACTCATAGAACCAAGCCCCGCCCTACAGTTTATGAATGTCACAATATGGAATAAAAGATCTGTCACTACTTCTGTTTCATTGTGACTTTAAACACCTATATTTTGTTTACCATAAAGGCGCTGGATGCCCCGGATATCATCTTGAGCGATGTTCCTCTGACCCGTGTACGTTGCATTAGGGTGCATTAACGCATTAGGGTCCTGTGAATGCCAGAGGCCTAAAGCGTGACCGATTTCATGAGCAGCGACCTGGACCAGGTCATTCAGCCACACACCTGTGCAGAGACAACACACCATCAAATCAAAGAGGAAAGGGAAAGAAGAATAGATGGAGGATTGTGAGATGTTTTAATGTTTTTGTCTCGTCGCTCCGGCCTGACAGGGCATCATCACAGTATGGTAAGGGGCATAACATTTCTGTCACACGCTTGAGGTATTCGGCCAATCACAATGCACTGGATAGCTGGCCAATCAGAGCACACCACGCTTTTCAGACCGATGAGCTTTGTAAGAATCTACGCGTTTCAGAAAGGCGGGGCATAGAGGAGAAACAATAATGTACAGTATGTGGAAAATAATGTGTTTTTTGAACGTTAAACCGCATAAACACATTTCATTACACCAAATACACAAAATAATGTTCTTTTTAGCAACATCATATGACCCCTTTAAGGACAAATTCTCACTATCAACTAGCATGCATATTTCTAGCATTTTAGCTGTTTATTAGTACTTATTAAACACATATTAATGCCTTATTCTGCATGACCATAATTTAGATCCCTTAATCATACCCCTAAACTTAACTACCTTACTAACTATTAACAAGCAGCAAATTAATTAGTGAGAACTGGACCTTAAAATAAAGTGTGACCTTAATCTTTGCCAAGCCCACATAAAACAAGCACTACATTAATGCAAGAACACAAATTTGACAAAACCTTCATATTTAATGGTTTCATTTATTTGTAGATTACATTTAATAGATTACACTTAAATTAGAACATCTGCAGTTAGCTGGTAAAAAGTGTCATTATACATGTTTGGACTGAGTTGTCAGAGTTGTTTTGACCAGCCTGTGGCATTTTGAGCACTTCAAA